TGGCTGAAAGACGTTGCCTAACGATTGTCTATGTGGCTGTGGCTAAGGCTATTGATTTTAGATTTCAACAATGCGGGTGAAAAATGCTCAAAATTATATTGCACGAAAGCTGAAATTATAAAAGCTGCCATTACAATCAACCCATACAGGGTGAGCTATCTAAAAGTGTAATGTACTTCACGAAAATCACTTAAGATACGATACGAATAAGATAATATATACTCGTACAAATCTGAGTCTACTTTAAAAACAAAACTTTTAAATGGATTGAGAACTTTGCCCTTTATAGGAAAACTTAAGAGCAATATTTTATTTTTGCTGGGGCATTCAAAATTAACGAACATACTCCAAGTATCTATAAATTCTATATCTTCAATCCGTACTGTATTTATCTAATAGTCCATTAAAAATTTAAACTGAAACCCTGTTAGACACTTAAATGTGGACGATTTCTGGTTGTTTTTTTGTCTTCGACAAATTTGTTGTCTGCTTGACTTTTGCCAAAAAATATACAGCGCGAAAAAGCCACAAAAAATAAAGCACGGCAAAAACCCAAAAATAAAATGAAAGAAGCCCGCAAATATCAAGAGAAACTTGATCAAGAGTTAAGAGGTCGGCCGAAAGTTGTCCATCTGACTTAGTCGGGTACCTTGCTCCTCTATAAAGAGGAGTGTGAAAATTAACAGCTGATCTTAGATATGGATACCGCCAAAATATCCATTTACGGATTGATACGGTCTAAAGAAATCAAATTTATAAATATTAAATATTCCTATGGGTGTAAAGTAATATTAAGTTTGATTTTTAAGATAGCTAAATCAGGTTCATACCAACTTATAGTTTTTTCAGCAAAATAAAGGATGTACAAGAGGTCGAAAACCCTTAGAGTTTTTGTGAAATACCAAACGAAATCTTTAAAATTAGTATAATATATATAAATTCAAAATACTCCTTGAAACAGGCATTCGGCAATATATAGTTGTTTTTTCCTGAAAATAGTAAGTGACATCTGCTTTAAGAAATTTTCAAATGAAAGAAAGCAACATAATCTTAATTCAATGCATGCACAATCCCCAAGGAATAATCCCGGTACGGATCATCCCTTGTTCCAAGGAAGCGTCACTTCTCTAAAAGATCCCACCTGGACATACCCATTTCCAACAACTGCCGCTAAGAACCCACGTACATCACGCAATCAACTGTAGCGCAATGGCCACGCAACAACCAGCAAAGAATAAAAAAATCACTTTTATGGCAAAGATCAAACTCGCAGAAAAACAACAGCGACGTCGAAAAATACGTTACCAAGGTAATCCGACGACGATCTCCTCGGCTGTTGTTGCACTGAGAACCTTTTTGAACAGTTTACATTTATATTAAAGATTCAAGTAAACGCGATAATTTATTTTGTTTGCGAAAACTAATTACCGTATAAATATAATTTAACAAATGTATATGCAAAGCACCTTTTAAAATACCATCAAACTGATTATTTTATTTCATTATTTTATAGAAAAGAGGTCTTTGATTTGCTTAATTAAAAAAATGTTTGGAGCGAGTGAGTTACTTCTGTACCAATACCACACCAATAACCACATCTTCTCCCAGTGTACTGCTGCTGCGTGGCAGCGACAACAACACCAACATCCACATCAATAGCAGCAGCGACAACAACACCGGCAGCAACAGCGACAGCAAGCAGCAAAGAAATGGCCGTTAAAGTTGCCAGGCAAATGGCAAAAGTCAGAGGCGTAGCTCGATCCAGGGTTTGCCCCACTGTTCCAGAAGACAACACCGAGCATTGGCTCCCTTTTCGAGCGATACGTGAGCAGTTCTCTTGGCACGTTTTTCGGTTTTTTCTCCTTGTTTAATTTTTTTTCTTGATTTCTTCGTGTTTTTTTTATTTTTTTGGCGTGGCCGACGACGCCCGTTTGCCATCATAAAAGAAGTCAATTGAATTTAAATTTAAAGTACATAATGGCCAAGTGAAGGAGGTGAGTTGCTCGCACCAAAGGGGAAGGGGGCGGCGGAGAGTGCTGAAGGCAACGCTGCCGCCTTTCGAATTTCACAAAGTCAACCGTGTGGTTTTTGTTGCTGGACTTGGCTTTTTGCTGTTGGGGCCTCAAACTCTTTGTTGTTGTTGTTGTCTGTGTGGGATTGAAGACTATGTATAGAGATATATATATAGGTATTTATGTATTTCATGTACAAGGCCCAGGCACGCAAGGCTTTTGGCTTTCAAGCCAGAGATATGTCCATGTGTAGTTGTGTCCGTTGCTCTTTTGATTTAAACGTGCTTAAATTTAAAGATCAAATTGCTTGGGTTTCGTTTTTATTTTCCGCTTTCGGGGACTTTTTCGGGGGTGGGCTATTTAGCGGTAGGCCCAGGAATTTTAAATCGTAGACAAGCAAAACCGCAATAATCGGGCAGGAATTGTGTAGAAATAAGTAATCGTTGCAGTGAGTCAGAGATTGAAATGTCGTTTTTTGTTGGCGGATATGGTTAGCAATTTATTTAGAAAGCCAGAGACTCGAGTGCTCCCACAGATTCAGAGGCTGACACACATATTTCAGCTTTATTCGCATTTCGCCCACCGCTTGGATAATTTCGCTGGAAAAGATGATTAAGTGATTAGGGGTTTTAGCGGCAGACTAACATTCGAAAACGAAAGACTTAGGCAACGAACTTGTCCATAACCTATTGACATTATGACGCGGCAAGGAGAGCCTCCCTTTCCCCTCCCCTCACATTTTCTCCCTCTCTCTCTCTCTCTCTGAATACCTTTCTCCCTCTTATTCACTTGCATCTCGCTGATTTCGGTTTGGAAATTTGCATTGTTTGCCAACGTTGCGACCTCCCGATTTGTCTGCCTGCCAAGCAAACGTGAGATGAGTTGGGGTTTGCTCATTTGCCGCCTTTCTGCCTCCGCCGCTGGGAACGTGCAGAGAAAATATTTGACTTTTTGCGCACACAGTTATGGATATATAAATATGTCAAAAGTTTTGTTTGCCTTTCTGTCGCGGCCATTGTGGGAAAGTGTAAGGTTCTGGGCCCGAAGCTCTCGGACGACAGTTTGCCAGAGATCTTATCGGTGGATGGGTAATTAATTGCTTAGGGGCCTGCCTGGGCATCGTATTTGGTGGTAAGGCTAAATAATTTTACAATTAGCAGTATTAACTGAGCAGTGCAGCTTGGGAATTACAACTAAAATATGCTCTATGTTCTAGCATCCACATTTTTTTCTTGAATGTACGAGTATAACATGGCCAAACAAAATCATATACTTTTATGATATAATTTTAATTTGGAAAACTGATATTAGTTTTAAGATTCACTAATTACTTATTAGACTTATATCGACTACCATACACCCAGCTAAGTTTTCTCAAACTAGTTTCCCAACATTGAAACATAGAATCCATTCACTTGGGGCTCTATCGATTTCCAGATCATTTCACAATTCAAAGACCCGGCATGGCCATTGTCCGAGATCTCAAAATGACCAGGTTAATAAGCATATGCCAGTGGAAACCAGTTGGTCCAACTAGCGGAGCCAAGCCCCTGGGGTGGGAGCTCACTTAGCCCCCTCTAAAAGCATACGCATAGCCAATGGTCCCGGCCATATTTACACTCCCCGTCCGAAAAACCCTATTCAGCCGAAGCCAGAACTAATAAAACTCATTAAACCAAACATGTTTGGGCTTAGACAAAGGCCTCTGTCTATGCCCAATTTGAATAATCTCCTACACAGAGAGTTATACTATGCCCAAATCAAAAGGGGAACTGAATAGCAAGACTCCGAGAGTCAATAATCTGATTGGGGAGGCGAACGAGAAGGCGACCGAGAAGGAGACCGAGAACAACGTTCAATTAAAAGCAAAATCCAAATTAATGAAATGAAAATAAAAATAAATTAACCAAGGCTTGAACTCCAATCCAAATCTGAGCCGAACCCGAACCCGAAAGAAAGCGGCCGTGCGTCGAAACCAACCAAACCAGCAGCCTCTGAAAAAAGAGAGAATCAAATGATAACTTTTCAGTTCGGAGCGAAACTGTACCCCCCTGTTCGGCATCGGCATCGGCATTATAATGATCACCGAGATCATGATGATGCTGCGTGAAAGAGGAAGAACACAAAAGGTGGCTCTGACTGTGGAACCCAAACCTGAACTTCCACCGGCAAATGGCCAAGATCGATACAATTTTCGAGCAGCATTCGGGTTTTCGGACACCAAAAGTCAGAGAACAGTAACAATGCCGAGCCACAGATACAAAGATACCCAGATACATATGGCTACATACATAGCTATATGGCTGTGTGGCCATAAGGCGGGCGACTGAGACAAAGTCACCTTTTTGGTTATACGGGGAGAGACAAAAGACGTGGAATGGGAACAAGATCATTGCATTTTTGCTGGCTGCTGGCTGTTTTTTGTTTTTGTTGCAGCCCCGAAGCCAGTTTCGCCCCAGCCTGGTAACAAGTTTAACTGAAAATTCTAAAAATAATGCCGGCCGGTTTGTCGTTTCAAAAAGAAAATCAAAAACACACTAAAAAGGGGGAATACGAAAAGAAAGAGTGGGCCCAACTCCAGAGATGGTGCATCTGTAGGCGAGTGTGAGTGAGTGAAGGGTAGGAAAAAACAACCAAAAGAAGTAACATTTCGATGGAAGGGACTAAGGATGCCAAGTGCCAAGTCACTCGATTCGGCTTACAGGCAGCTGCAATTGGCCCAGGGATGGACCACAGTTCACAGGTGATTTCCACCAGCGAATCTTTTCCGTTGGAAAACGTTCATATTTCATAAGTTTGTCGTCTTAATTATACCGATTAATTATATGGTTTTCATAACAGCATTATAATTTTCTAGACCAGTAATATTTTTAAATATATTCATTGGGGTAATATATTGTAAATAATTTCATATGCAAGCATATAAAATATGAAAGGTGTTTGGTTCATTAAATTTATAAATCAGCCTTTTCGTTCTCACAAATATAATTTACATTTTTTGATGAAGTAAATATTTTTTATTTTTACAGCCAAATCAATTACGTAGTAAAACAGATATCCCAAATTTATGTTAAATCCCCGTCCTATACCCTGATGCTGCAGCCCTGAAGCTTGCCGATGTTGCATCTTTCTTCTTTAGAGCCAAACCAATCTCGGGCCCAATTCCTTTCCAGTCCGGTCCGGCTGGCTTTGGCCATAAGTCCCTTGTGCCTAGTGCCCAGTGCCTGGGCCCTGATGATCATGACGCTGCTAAATGTGGCCGGTGGTGCCCAGCATGGGGCAGGGGCAGCCGGTTCAGTCTGTGGTGCTGTTCCCCCTCCGCAGCCCTCAGCGTTTGTTTGCAACAAGTAACGCGCATAGGAATCTGTATTTGTGGACGTACATATCTGCGGCAGTGTTTGCCGGGCCAAAGAGTTGCTTACCTGCGGAGGCCGAGCTACCTGTGCCCAGGTAGGCGTATGCATGTGTGCCTGTGCCTTATCCACATCCTTCGTCTCTGCAGTGGATGCAGCAGCCAGCGGTCAGCGGAGGCAGCGCAGCATCGGCAGCGAACCATCATTATGTCCAGGTATACATGTCTATATATACACTCTTTATATAAGGGCCAACACATTGTGATTGTCTCTCCTGGCATGACTCGGCATCTTGCTCTTGGTTATGGGGTAGCTAGGCGTCGGGCTCTTCTGCCATTGCTTAATGGTTTTAGGAAATCGAAAATTAAATAATTTATCTCGATTTTATGACGTTACAAGCAGGTTTTGATGCCCTTCATCCCCACCCATCACGCGATAAATCTCCGGCTTACAATCAGAAGAAATGCTGCCAGAACAAAAGCACACATGTCCATTGCAATGCCTTTGGGTCGCCTGTGATTTGAATAGCCACATTTCTAGTGCCACAAAACAAGCGATGCTGCCAGTGGTCCCTGACACTCACTCGACGTAATCAAAGTCGCCCAGTGAATAAACCGAGGAGGGGAGCTATTTTTAAAAAAACCCCAACCTGACTTGCTCATTATTTTCCCGCTTTTTGACTGGTCATCGCTCTCAAGTGGCTCATTCGGGTCGAGATTGATTCGAAAGAAAGGTGCAGAGAAAGTGGTAAGGAGGCAGTGGACTTGGACAAAGTGGGTTGTTACTGGACCTTAGTTAAAACACGGAAAAAAAGCCGTGACTCTATGAGTAAAACTATGTTTTATATAATGGGCTACTTGTAATTTTCGTAAATTGACTCTAGCGCTAATTATTCTCATCATATTTTCAGTTACAACAAGACAGTACACAATAGTCAATCTCCTCGACTTTCAGATACCTGTTACTCAGCTACTGAGAGGGGGAGATGAATTTTTTGCAAAAGTTGCAAGCAAATTCTCAATATTTTGGGAGGAACTGCTGTTTTCGTTCTGGCCAGTAGTTTTTGGCGTATCGATAAAAATTGGAAAGATAAATTATAACGTAAATTTAATCAAACCAATGGGCAATTGGTAATTTTGAAACGAATTCCACATTGTTAAAAGAGCTAAGTATTTGAGTTTTTAAAGGTGCACTGTTTGTTAGAGGAAATGGAGCGACATTTGTCGCTGTGGTCGCATTTGCTCGGATCGTCTGCGATTGATGGAAAAGTTTTCGGCTTAATTTTACCAGGCACCTGGTACAGTTTTGATAATGGCCAAGATACTTTGTGGTCACTTTTATGTGGTTGAAAATGGGTATATATACATAAAGATGACATTTCATTTTATATCGATTTTGATTCGATTTACAAGCTGCTTTGTTTATTGAAAATGGTCAAATGGAAATAGTTTCTATGCAACATGGTTTGTGCAACACTCTTTAGTGGCACATTTGGCCACCAAATATTACAAATTTTTCAGAGCGGTATTTTTACCTTTATTTCCGATGACTATTGTTCATTTAAAAAATATATATATTTTAGCATTTTCTTAAAAAGATAATCTTACCTTATGATTAAGCTATTTAAGGTAAAATAATATCGCTCTAAAACAAGAACGAATTTACACTTATAAATTAAAGAATTTTAATCCGTAATTATCCGTGCACGATTGCAGTAAAGCACATATTACATATTCTTTTAATTTATACTATCAGATACTAGTTAGTAAAGACATTAAAAAAATACATTTTCCAGAAGTGTGGACTTGACAGCTTTAGACGCTTAGTGGGCGTGGCTACGTTCTAAAAAGAAACTTGCACAGCTTAGGCAGTACTAGTATCTTTATCTTCGTTTAGCCTGTAATTCCGAAGTACCATAAAATATGTTAATATGCGCATGCTTTACAAAAGTAGCAACAACGAGACTACATTTGTATCCCCCGATATAGATAGATATCATGAAAAGATCCTTCAGCTCGTTGCGAAGTTTTGACTGATAATACCCTTGTGTACAAGAATATAATAGCACGTGTGTATTTAAGTTAATTCTAGGTTTATTTGGCTTATTCAGTAAAACAAACTTAATGAAACCCTAAAGACCTTTATTATTTTTCTAGTAGAGCGCCACCTCCTCAACCCCATACCAATTTGTAGAGTACATCGGTTTCGCCTGCCGTTTCTCCACGATATTTGTGAGCAGCGGCAGCAAATTGGCTAAATCGAACAAACTTTCTTCGTAGAAGGACAGGAGATTAGCCCATTTGGAGAGCGTCTCGAGCAATGCTTCGTCCTTGGAGATAGTCAGCAGGGTAAAATGGGAGGTCAAGATGCAGCCAAACCACTGGAGAGCCTGGACTTCTGTTTGAACTGGCGAGCAATCCAGGCTGGGTCGTTCCTCCAACTGTACATTGGGGTCATTGGCCAGATCAAACAGGTGGTTCATCAAGTGCTGGACATGGGAGAGCTCGAGTCGATATCGCAGATGATCCTCGATACCGCTGGCATCAAATCTGCAGGCTAGCACTGCATTTAGCAGCTCTTTGTTGGAGTATTTCTTGGCCATTGGTACAGCGTTGGAATCGCCATTAATTGTATGACGAGGCTTGCATTTATCTAGAGCATAACGCAGTGACCAGGCTAGCATTCTCTCCGATATGTTGCTGTAGCGCCGAAGACACATAAGGACGTGCTCTGTGTTGTCGGTCTTGATGAAAAGTGTAAGAATCCTCTCGATTATCTCTTCTTCGCCTGCTCCACTTCTCTCCAGCTGTCGGACTAAAGCTTGTACAGCTGTGTTCTTCGGTCCCTTATCAAAGAAGTTCGACATTAGAGTGACACTCACGTCCTCCAGCCCATTCTCGCAAATGGTCGCCTCTCCATGGATATGCTGCTTGATGATTTCGTCCATTTCTTGATCCACTACCTCGGGAGGATCGTAGGCCAACTCCCGGCCATCAGCTTTTTGGCAGTCCAAGGTGGGCATTTGCTTATTTAACTGGGATTTCACAGCCCTATAATTGGAGGATTTCGTACTACCATCAAACTTAATAAGCGACTCGAGATACTCCTCCTCGTTTATGTGATCCAATTCAATAGGTGAGAGGTTAGTATCACTAAACTGGGAGCCCAACATGTCCACCAGCACCTCACGATTCATTCGGTAGCGCACCGCCGCTATATTATGTCCCATGGCCAACAGGATGTGCTCATTCCCGGCCCAAAGGCGAGAGAAGTCCAGGTACACTTTAAAGTACTGCTTTGCGTTGACTACCTTGAACTGAGTGTTATAAACCAACAGTGAGGCGCCCTCCTCCCCGTAGTTGGCGCCGTAGATGGCAGCAAAGTTTCGTGAGACTCCGTGCACGGATAGCTTGCTCTCCACATTCAGTTCGGCCAGCATTGACACGAATTGTCCCGGGGATCGTTCTGATTTGGCCTCCGCCAGGTTCAGCATGAAGATGCGTTTGTCAGACCCTGTAAAATTAAATAACTTTATAGTTATCCATCTTAGATATAAAGGGGTAAATATTTTGTTTACTGTCGTCTTTAAATGGGATTTTTCTCAAAATGAACGCTCTACATTAATATTTATCCTTTCTATAAAGAAAGTTACTCACAAATGGTTAGTAACTGAGGATCTGCATCGCCCTCGACGATTGCGTATCCCGAGAGGCGAACCTCTTCCCGCTTAATGAGGTACCTTCGCCGGTTGGCGGTGTCTAGGGAGAGGCGGATAAGCTGCAGTTCGCCGGTGGCCTTTATTTCCTCGAAATATGTGAGCACCTGCTGGCCCTGGGCTAACGCATGGACTGTGGGTTTGCTGATGACCTTGCTGGCAGCCAGGGCCAGTTGCTCAGCCGTATCCTCCTTCTGGTCCTTTCGCGAAGCCAATGCCTGGGAAAGGGTTTGGCAATCGCCATCACTGTAGAGGATTAATGCCTCCTGGTCGGTTTCCACCACGTGAGCGATGCTTTTCTGAAACTGCAGAGAAACCATATTACCGACCATTACAAGATGAATTTTGGGTGCCAATACCTTCAGCTTCTTGCACTTGGACACATCACTGGTGTCCACATCCCAAAGACGTAGAGCGTGATTTCCAAAGACGCCCACATATTTCTGGCTGCTGGGATCGTATATAACCTTGGAAGATAGCTTCTCCGGCAGGGACCAACTAAGCAACTGTTTTTGTGTGCTGATCTATAAGGGTATCGCGTTTGTTACATGGGCCTTATGGCATTTTGGTGTCAAAACTTACATTCAAAACAACCACCACATTGCGAGCCAGCGTAGTCACCACATTGCCATTTTCCTTGTCTGCAGCTAGGCCCAGGAACTCCTTGGGGTCAGGGATGGGAAACAGGTTGTAATAGGACAGGAATTTGGACATTATTTAGGCGAATTGAAAACAATTGCAGCACGTGCAAAGCGGCATCCAAAACTGATCCACAGGGTGATTCGTACGACTAAAACCTGTGTTTTGGAATTAAAAATACCGACTGTAAGGGTGCCAGACCGTTGCACAATACTAGCATATATGGTTGCCGGACCTGCCACGTGCTATCGATAAGAGGAAGAGACAGAAGAAGAAGAAAGAAATGGGTGGAAAGACAAAACAAGCGCCGCGCACCAAAAATAATGCCAAGGTAAGACGTAGTATGGTATTATTATATTATTTAACCGTGCCTCCAACCCCCCATTATCTAGCCCTCGAGCAGCAGCCGAACCGCCGAGCTTCTGGGCAGTTCCACGCCCATTTTCGTGGGCTTCTCGGCGCAGACGGACGGCGGTGGCCTGGTGCCATTTGCTCCGGGATTTGCCAGCGCGGAACAAATGCCGGACAGCTTTGACGCGGCTATCAGTCCACAAACGCAGATCATTTTGCGAAAGCTGTCCAAAAAGGACCCAATGACGAAGAAGAAAGCGCTGCAGGAGCTGCACGAACTGATCGAGCAGTCAGACGTGGAGGTCCTGAAGAACATTCTGCCGCTGTGGCCCAAGTACTACCTTAATCTAGCTAGTGATCCGGAGCACACTGTCCGCGAACTGACACAGACTGTGCTGCAGTTGCTCATGGCTAAGTGCAAAAAGGCGATGGCGCCATACCTCAAGTTGCTTGTGCCCGTTTGGCTGGGCAGCCGCTTTGATACCTACGCTCCGGCGGCTAGCATTGCGAGCCAATCCTTTCGAGATACCTTTGCCGGCAACGCCAACCGAACTCGGGAAGTCTGCATGCACTGTCAGGTGGAAATTCTGGAGTACGCCACACGCAACCTAACCTTCCACACAGCTGCTACTCTGTCGATCGGGAAAAGTCTCACTCCAGAGGAGTCGGAACAGAAGTACCAACGCGTTATTATCAGTAGTCTCAAGTTATTGTCCTTCTTCATTGGGCAAACTGCGCAGACAGAGGAGCTCAGCCAGGTCAGGGAGGGCCTTGGCACCTTGGTGGCACACCAGAAGTTCTGGAGTTTCGCCAAGCATAAAGTGCCTCCCATTAAGTAAGTAAAATTACAAGTAATTTTTCATGTCCTTTCTAAGTACTGTTTTATATTTTATAGGGCCGCCTGGTTTGAGTGCATATATCACATCCTCCAATCGGTTGCTCTTTTGGACGTTATCACGCCTCAGAAGACGCAGCTGACAACCCTCTGCTTCCAGTTTATTGACGATGCTGATCCCGTGGTGGCACCTCATATTTGGGGGTGCGTTCTGCTCCTGCAAAATAATTACGAAGATTGGTAAGACTTTGGATCTACTATCACTCTAATATTAAAATTTAACATTTGTAGGTTTGTTCCACTTAACATTCGCAAGACTCTTCTCCCAAAACTTTCGTCGTTGCTTCATAATGGTTTCAATCGCAACGCCCAGGCCATCTGTCCCAATCTGCTGCCATTTCTGTCGAAAGTTACACCAGCATCCCTTCAAGACCTGGATATCTACGATTTCTATCAGCGCTTCTTTGATGACATGAAGCTTGCAGTCACTAAAAAATTCGATCCACCGCTAGCCAAATCCGATTGCATTGTGATACACAATGCCTATTTTGAGTGCCTACGCTTTCTGCTGCAGCTGATTAACAACAACAAAGAGCGGGAGAAGAAGGAGGAGGAATTTTCTACTAACCTACTCGATAACAACGTTCTTGAACCTATTGGCTGGCTGCTTAAAAGCGATAGTGCGCATGTAAAAATCTTCTTCCAGCACAGTTCTGCACTGGTGGCCTTTTGGGATCGTCAGATTAATAATAGATTGGATAATGGTGGCCTATATGCCAAGATGCTGAATCAGTTCTGGACACGCATCTTTGAGCTGGTCACCCAAGACCTGTCTGCCGAAAAGGTGAATGAGCAACTGCTCGGACATGTCCTGCTTTTAGTGCAGGACCTGCACATGGCTAATCCAAGTCTGGAGTCGCCAAGTGTGAAATTTGTGGAGGAGCCAGTCGGAAAAATGGAGAAGAGCGAACCCACCACACCAGTTAAAAAGGCTCAAGAAGCTGCTGCTTTTATACAAAAGGAATTGAAACAGTTGGTTATAAAGTTAGTGAGGATATGCCTGGATAAGGCCAATATCAGTGGAAGTGGTACCTCAACCTCGCGTTACATCGAACAAATTCGAACGCTTACAAAAATGTTTAACGATGCCGCGTTCTACAAAAGTCTAACTGATGATGGAGACCTGCGGTCAGCGTTAAATAAATTTGTGTCATTGCTGGGGCAACTAAGTTGTGACGCTAGTGAATCTGTGATTGAGATCGTATTTGAAATTCTGCCTCTGTTAGAGACAGCGCAACGCTTTGAATACATTGAAAACACTCTCATGAAGGTAATTAAATTTAAAAATGTAAAACGCATTCTAAACATTAAGTTTCTTTACAGCTTCCACAACATGGCGTGCAAAACCTTTTGCTCCACCGTCTACTGTCTTATCCCCTATGCACCGAGCCCGCAGTGAGGCAGATGCTCAGTAGTCCGGAAACTTGTGCAATGATTGCGCGGATTGCCGAGGAGGTTGTCGTAGACAATGATCGAGAAAAGTTGAACTTGCTTCACAAGTGCTTTTTCCAAACTGATACGGGAGACATACTCATTAATGCTAATACTGTGGATAAAATACTGCTGTCCATGTGCGGACCCTTGGAGCAACCGGTTTTGGATGACGCGGTAGAAGTGTGTGGCAGTTTTATTGCCCAGATAATGCCTGTGATTTGCAGCAACAATAACTCTTCGCTGCACGTGCGCCAACAGATCTTCCTTAAGCTGTTCAAATTCAGCTTGGATCATCGACCAGAGGATTATCTGTCGGAGGATACTCTGTGGGAAATTACCACTTGCTGGCAGGATGGACTTTCAAGTAAAGACATTGAAATCGATGATGACATGCTGAAGTGCTGTGCAGGGATTGTTGAGGAACTGGCAAATTCAGTAGAACTTAAACCGGAAACTTTAGATGGAATGGCAGAGGCGATGGCCAAGTTTGTTATTTGCTCAACGGAAAATATTGAAGATGAGAAGAAGCGCTTGGAGCGAATTGATGAAACTATATCTGCTCTTCTGGAATCGCCCCTAAAAACACCTGACCAGGTTCAACAGTTTGAGAACCATTGTGTACTCCTGGAAGCCTTGCAAGGATCTGTAACTGCGGGAGTTACCTTCGAAAACGCTTGCCTCTTAAGGGATGAAATACTACCATTAATTCAACGTTCCACACTTAACTTTTCAACAATCTACAAGCTCGTCTATCAGTTCCCACCACCTCAAGTCACCAACGACCCAGAAGATGAGTTGACCGAGGACTACTGTGATCCAAATGCTGATGTGCTCAAAGAATGGAACGAACCCCTAATTGCAGAGCTTTTACAATGCATAAGAGTGGCTGGAACAGCAGAATGCTGGTTGGAAACGTCAGACTTGCCATCGGTTACAGAGGAGTTAGTTCTGTTCCTTTCGGAAAAAGTGCAAAGCTTTATGGGAAACAGCAGTGATCTGGTTTCCATAGTCAAAGAACGTCTACAGCAAGCTGCAGTGCAGCAATCTAGCGTAATTGACTGCCGTCTTTTGAGTTACTTTAGATTTTGCCGACAGTATGCGGCTTTTGAAGAAAGTGCCTCCATTTTGCTACATGAAGATTTGTCCGAAAATCTGGTGACGCAGGGAGCCCTCAAGACCTATGTAATAGCACTACAGGTAGGAAATCTAAAATAAATATAGGAACACTTACTTATACCTTATGTCTTACAGTTTCTCTTGCCGAAACTGTCTCAAAAGGCCATAACTCTTAGTTCGGCTATTATGAGAACAGAACCGCCTGAAATTTGGGTTAAGGCAGCAGTATTCCATGCCCTTCTATTAAACAATTTTGAAGGTGATGTGAATGAGCAAACGGATCGCAATATCATCGTATCAGCCGTACAGTTTATGACCAGCATAGGGGAAAAGCAAGCCAGCCAGAAGGAATTACTCCATTATAATGTGTAAGTCAATACACTTTTCTTAAATTTTATATGATTTAAAACCCAAGTCTATATATATTTCAGAGAAATTCAAAGGCAGCCCTACGAATCAGTTATAAATACAGTGGAGTTCATAAAGCTTTTAACTGAAGTTTTGAAACGTTTTCCATACGAACTGAGCATAAAGAACTGGGACGCCATTCGCATTGGCCTTAGTTCTTGGGTGCTTTCTGTTTCTAAATCTATAGCCCAATACAAAGACCCGAAGGTGGGATTCATAAATTAATCTTTTTCAAAATGAATAATCATATATCTTTTATTGCAGACATCGCTGTTTGTTGCGGCTGTTTACCAATTGTTTGCCGCCTTGATTGAGTTCATACGCTCCGAGAAACAAAAGAGTTCCACGGAATTACTCAAAAACATGATCGATGAATGGGACTCATTGTTCGCTAAGGAAGTCAATGTAGTACTCTTTAAGTCATTTTACGTTTTGACCCACGAGACAAGTGTGCAGCCTGGGTTTCAGGCGTGCTATGAGGCGCTACTGGAACGAATAATACCGGCTATAGAGCGCCTGGACTACAGCTTTGTGTACTCGGTAATCAAAGGATACATTTTTTGGTTTTTCCATGGCTGATGACATGAAACCTTTCTACATTTCAGTTTTGCAAGTCAAATAGTAACATCACCTTGGACCACCTGTGTAATTTCCTGTTCAAGCAGCTTTATAGTTTCCAGCACTCGGTTCGATTAAGTGCCGTACACTCGCTTCGCCAATTAACGCCACACTTTGTGGCAGACGACATAGAGCTGAATGAGAAACAAAGCGAGAGTCTGGACGCCAGCCCAATGATTTCCAAATGGCACTTCCTTAATCGGTTTGAGGACTACTTAACACGCTACGATGGCCTAATAAGAAAATACCTGGAAGAGTTTACCTTCAAGCTATCAGAGCTCGATGATCTCGAACCCATAGACAGACACAATGCACTGAGTTACCTTTTATTATGGGATTGTATAATCAATGCTTGCGCTAAGTCTCCGGTTGCATTGCGCGCTGTTTACACAAATTGGCTGAATGATAACAAATACGAAGAGGTTGGCAGCAGTACATTAAATTTACTATTCATTTCAAATTTACACTTTCAATTTTTCCGCTTCACAGAATTTTCTACACTTCCTTTTCCGCGCAATGCCGGTGGACATACTTAAGAACCACGGTGCCAAGGTGCACAGCAACGGCGTTTACAAAGAGCTAACCTGGACTCAGCAGAAGGGTAAGCTGAACCATACTTAAGCAATTATTGTTTCCTCCGACATATCTGTATTGAGAACGTCGGGCAAGTAGTCCTCCCCATATCCATAATCGTCATATTCGGCGGCTCCGTGCTCGACATCCTCCATCATTTCCTCTGCATCTGCCTCATCGGTAACAGAAATGAAATCTGACAAGGGCACAAACTGCTCGGGATCGTTCTCCGCCATCATCTGTCGTTTTACAGGTATTTGCTGGGGTGCCAAGTAAATGTTTAAGTTTGATATAAACTTGTTAATCCAAACAGTCAGGTTGTTGGCCAATATCTTCTGATACTCTTGTAAGTTACTTGTCGTATAGAATTCTTGATCTATGTTTTGTTTTTGATCTTGTTTAATTTAGAAGTGTCCCAGCTAGCTTCAACTTACCTGTAAATTCTCGAAGTCTCTCAAGAATTACGCAACATAGAGGGGAGTTCTCGTCAACAATAAACTGATCGTTGAGCAGAAAGTCCTTCATTTCCTCGAACAGGACGCAAATTATCTTTTGCATCTGCTTGCGCTGGCGCAGAAGGATTCGCTTTTTGAGACCCTTGCATCGTCGCTTGTGGACGCGCTTTGCCGCCCTGCGCTGACGCATCTCTTCTTCCATGTACTCCAGCGCCTTCTCCATTGACATAGCTTCCACCGGGGGCTTGGGTTTCATCTGGTTCTCTAGAGCCGCTATGTGACGGGGAGAGAGGTAGTCCTTAAAGAAATTGTATGTGTCACTCACTCGCATCGGGTGCGGATCGGCAAGCCGTTCAACCCGGGCTGTACATTGGTTAACGTAGATCTTTTTGGTATAGTAGCGCGCCTGTTTGGCCAACTGGGGCGAGGAGAAGTCCTTCTTTGGTGTAGCTAGAAAACATATGTGTTCCTCCCGGGACAACACGTCCCGGTCAATAATTATTTGCCCAGTGTGCTGGCAGGGTACATAGCATGGATGGTAGCGGGGACAGACGCAGATGAATCTGTAGGTCAATAAAATATAATTGTTTTTATCAAATAGAGTAAAAAAGCAGCCGCATTTGTAGTCTATAGTAAATAATGTTCTTTTCCAATAACAGTACGTTAAAAACATGATTAAATTTATATGTTTTCAATATGGAAAGACTTGATACTTACCTGTACAATGCTTGCGTGTCATTGGCTGAAAACTTAACTAAGCGGCGGATGCGTTTGGCACGAGTCTCACGCACATGAACCATGGCCAGACGAGCGTTCAGCTCGTCCGCTACGGTTGGTCCATCCTGCTGAAACTCCTCCGGTTTGTCCTCCTTGCGCGTATCGCAGTGCGTCTTCAGGAAGTTTATGGCTTCGGCCACCGAAGTCTCGCCCTCTAGTTGAATGCGCTTCGCGGGCGGCATCTCGGAGGGTATATCCTTGAAATTTATTGGTTTGGCCATACTTTCAAATAGAACGGAAATCAAAAAAGAATTACAAAGCGGATCAATATACTGAACGTTAGGAGACAATCAATTTAAACGAACTGTTTTCTATATAAACTCGTTTTGACTTCTCGCAGCCAGGCTTGCCTTGTTTAATATGTTGCTCCGTTTACAGATCGACAGCTACCCCTGGAGCGATATGTCTGCCATTTGTACACGGAGGTGCTCCGCAAGCTGCCTGCCGTGGTGCGCAGGTGGTGGAATACCACTCAGTCCAGGCAAAAGAACTTCATAGACAACCTGACCACAAACTACGTGAGTTCTCTGATTTGCAGCGAGGAGCTTAAGGCGATCGCCAATCGGAAGGAAAAGCACGAGAATATGCAGGTAAGCGGGTGGGTCCCTTCCAGTTCTTATTCTTGCTCTGGAGTGCTAAGTCGGAGGGAAAAGACAACGGTGATGCTAATCAGCAGTATAATAATGACAATAACGCGAAAGATCTCAAGGGGCACCATATCTCTGCTATGAAGGATATATGTATGATTTCGCTATGTAATTCTCCCTAAAATTACAATACTTTAGATATTTTGTATATCCCAAACAAGCATAGTCTACTGAACTTGTAAGTTAACTAAAATTTTTTGCATTCTTCCTATTTTAAGGTTACTGTTCACTCCTCCACCCGCGAAGTGCTAGCGGTCTACGCCATCGACGAGGCCCGCATGGAACTTGTCATAACGCTGGCCCCCAATTATCCGCTGGGAGCTGTTAAGGTCGAGTGCGGCAAGCAGATCGGCGGACGGGCTTCCTCCCGAAATGTGGGCATGCAGTTGACCATCTTCCTGACACACCAGGTATTTATTAATACATTTCGTATACAATTCGATGGCTACTGATTAATAATATAATCAAAATTTTCGTATGCAGAATGGCACCATATACGATGGCCTAACCATGTGGAAGAACAACTTGGATAAAAAGTTCGAGGGCGTTGAGGAGTGCTATGTATGCTATACTGTCATTCACCAGGACACTTGCCAGCTCCCCAAGCTCACGTGTAAAACCTGCAAGAAGAAATTCCACGGACCTTGTTTGGTAAGACGGAGCAGTCTTCTATTTATATTTTCTGCGGTCTAACACAATGAACATTTTTGTAGTATAAATGGTTCACCACCAGCAGCAAGTCCACCTGCCCCATTTGCCGCAACGTCTTCTAGATGTGTGTATATATCATTAATCATTTTAGCAACACGTATTAAGCAAAAGGCACAACCAAACCATTCGATATAGGAAATAGTTTCAGGGCTCTCAAATTGTAAATCATCAATATTAATAAATCTTACAATGTTTTAATGTTCTTAATTATATATTAAGTGCAGGGATTGAACTTTATTAAAATTAAAGAAAAGTTATAAAGCTTAATAAATAGTATGTCGTGAAAGGCAAATCCATAGTAAATATCAAGTGTGCTTGTGTAAAACAGTTCACCAATAATATCAGTACTCACACCAACACGGTAAATACTTTTACAATATTTTTAATGCTGTGAGCGGATTCTCGAGAACTTTTTACAAATTATGGCTACGAGAATAAAAGTAATGGGCCAGTGTCCATATTGTAATCGCCATGTGGCCAAAGACCTAAGACCTATCAACATGCTGTCCACACGGGATGCCAAAAGAATTTCTCAACTAATAAACGAAGTGCAGCGCCCAGTTCAGTTGGAATCCGAGGAGGAGATGCAAGATCGCGAGGAAGAAGTACATGGTAATAGATCCAGAAAAGCGCAAGTGTCGCAGAGAAAGGGAATGAAAGAGTCTGGAAGGAAGTCAATATCCAAGAAAATTATAAATTCTTCTTGCTCCCAGCGTAAATCGAAGATAGGTACTAGGAGCGGAAAACCGCGAGTTTCGAAAAGGAAGACAGAAATTTTAGGGATGTCTGAATCCGGCGTCGAATCAAAAGATCCTTCTTCATTAGGGAAGATCAACAAAGAGGCTAGGAGCAGAACAACACGGGGGTCAAACAGTAAGAACCGAATTCAAGATGTTTCGGACTCTGAGGACAAAATGGAAAATGATTTTTTCTCACAAGGGGATTTAAACAATGATAAAAGTTCACAAGAAAAATTGAAAGAAGGCTCCTGCACCCCGAAGGAATTGATTGAAAGTCGTAGTTCACTGGAGGAATTGGTTGAAAAGTCCTGCTTCCAGGAGGAGCTAAATAAAAGTGATAATTCACAAGGTGAATTGGAAGAAAATGATTCCCAGAAGGATAAATCTGAAAATTCTGTAGGCGCAATCACTGGATGTATATTGGGGTTGGTAGAGCAGGAGTTTGGGCGTGATCCGGCCTGCAGTGGATCATCGGGGATTTTAAAGGGGAACGCCGAGGTCATTGTGGCCATGCTGGCCGAGGAGGAGCATATGATCAAGAAGATTAGGAAGCGGTCATCGCAGTCTTCTTGGTGGGAGGCGGACGAGCCGCCAGCTAAAAAGCGCAGGTGTTAATGCTGGACCAATGTAATTATATTTGGTTGCCTTTGCAAAATCATCAGTCAAACCGTTCGGCCGCCCACGTGCTGACCTTTTTACACCATCCACCACTCGGCACAATAAACCTCCCCTTTTGAGCATGCGCTCTGGAGAACTGACTTCCTTGGGGTGGGGCCCGCAGCACATGATGACTCGCTTTCGCATCGGTTTTGCTCAGTAGTGCAGTTTTGCAAGCTGCTAACTGGGATTACACACGCCATCGACTCATCCAAGTGGACTGTGAGGTCCACAAAATGACGTAAGCTCCAGGCTTATATGATGAGCCCCCGGGAACTGAAACTTGGCCAGCGCGTTGAGGTAACGGGTAAAAATCTGCAAGGTAAGGTGGCCTATGTGGGACGCACTAACTTCGCTGCCGGACTCTGGTACGGCGTGGTTCTGGACGAGCCGCTGGGCAAGAATAATGGAAGCGTACACGGCAGCATTTACTTCAAGTGTCCCACTAACTGTGGCCTCTTTGTGCGCGCCCAGCAGCTGGTGAGGATTGCAGAGTTGCCCAAGGGAGTGGACAATCGAAAAGCCGATGCAATGCAACGCGACGGGGCCAGAGCGAAGCTTTCAAGGCGGAGCGGCAGTGGGAAGTCTGTGGAGGAGCAGGTGAGTAATTCATTTGAAGAGCTTGAAAGTAGTTGTACATACATACTTCCATTATTTTCGGTAGGATAACCAGAGGGAGCAGCAGGCAACCACATCTGGCAAAGTAAAGGCCACTCCTTCGACTCCATCACCGCAGCACAAGAACAGGAACACCCAATCCCCTAGGGATCCGACATTGGCTAAGACTTCTGGGAGGTTTTTGGCGTCTCAACAGCAACCATTACAGCTTCCAAAGGTTAGTTGTTGAGCAGTAAAAAATTGAGTAGTCAAATTAGGTATTTGGGGGTATAATATAGGCAAGAAAAATATTCTTAATTTGTTTTAAATATTATTTTTCAGAATCCAGTGGAATGTGAAGACAGTGTAAGGAATCCGCAGGCTGATAAGACAGAGGAAGTAAGCATGTCTCCCAAGAGGTCATCAGCTAATGAGCAATCAAAGGAGCTTTCACAGCAGGAGACAAAGCAGACTACCCAGCCAGCAAGGAAGGAAAATGAGTCTAAGAATGAAAAGGAGCCACAGATGACGGAAGCTGCAAATTCAAGGCAGGATGCAACAGTCAATCCTCTCCAGACCAGCACAATTGTGCAGTTGCCCCCACAGAAGGCCAGTGCTCAACTGAATCCGCCACCTTTGACATATAACCAGAGGAGGTCGACATCCTACACGCAGCTGAGACCCACAAAGATTAGTCAGCCAAAGCCAACCACTGCACAGGCCCAGAGCTCCACGGCACAGCTCACCTTGGCCATGCCAGTCCCCTTGGCTTTGGCTCCCAAGCGGAGCAAGACCAGCATGAGTCCCACGAGCTCCATTAAGCGAGCTGCGCCAGCCGCCTTCGTAGAGCCCCGTTTTCTGGAGATCCTGAGACCGCAGTTTACACCTGGGCCAGCTCTCCGAACTCCCAGCTCGGTGGCTCCTCCTTTAGATAACCCTGAGCTGCGCCAACTGAGAGAAGAACTTCAACTGCTAAGGGGTCAAAAGAGCGAGGACAAGCTTAAGCTTCTGGAGCTAGAGCGGATGCGTATACATAACGAGCAGCTGATGGAGTTTAAGTCGCAGATTATGGCGCAGCAGGTACTGCTCCAAAGGGAACTGCAGCGGTCGCGACACGAACTGAGGGAAGCCCAGGATGTGTCCGCTAAATTAAAGAGGGAGCTAGACGAGATAGCAGAGAGCATAGAACTTCTCACCCTGGATAAGGAAATGGCGGAGGAGCGCTTGGAGACACTGCAAATGGAGCTGGAAATGGCACAGGAAAGAAATGACGAACTGAGCTTGGATGTCGAGATCCTGAAGGCGGAGCAAGAGGAGCAGCAGGGTCAACGAATCGAGAAGAGTGAAAAACAAATCGGAGCAGGGGTGACCACTCAATCCGCCGGCGAGTTCCTTCGCTTGGAACAATATAACCAGCGCCTTCGGGAGACGGTGGTCCGCTTGCGAGACACTCTCGCACAGGAGAAGCAGATTGGCCAGCGAACGCACAAAGAACTGGAGACCAAGCATTCGGAGATCAACGAGTTGAAAAGCATCAAGGAGTTGCTCAGCAGAAGAGTGGACAACATGGAAGTGCAGCTAATGGACTTGAAAGAGCAGGTAGATGCTTCCCTCGGCGCAGAGGCCATGGTTACCCAACTGGCTTCCTTAAAACTGGAGTTGGAAGATCGCGTCAAGCTCCTAGAGGACGAGGTCAACGAGCTGGAGGCGCTTGAGCAAATTCAGGAACAGCTTATTGAGAGCAACCAAGAGCTGGAAACAGATCTGCGCGAGGAGATTGACAAGTTAAGTGGTCAGGTTAAGATCCTGGAGCAACAAAAGAATGCCGCTATGGAAAGTCTCTACGATCGCGATGTGACCATCATGAAATTCAGGGACTTGGTGAGACAGCTACAGGAGCAACTCCAACTCCGAGCAGATGGCACCCTTTCCATCGAGGACTTCAGTAGTGCCAACGAATCCCAACAGGAAGATGGATCCAACCAGAGTCAGACGGACTACCAGCACATCTTTAGTGTGAGCAAGGCCTACGGAAGGGCCCTGGAGCAGCAGATCAAGACTGTGGAGCTACGGTTACAGCGGCAGCATCTGGAGCATGTCCTAGCCTTCGTCCCTGAACAGTTCCTCTTGCGTGGAGGGGAGCATGATGTGGTACTGGTCATGCTCTTACTGGAGCGGATGAACGAGAAACTGACCATAGTGTGCCAGGCCATTAACGAAAAGTTTCCCACGGCCTGTGAGTTTGGTAAGTGTCACTGCTTGTGCACATTACGGATTTGTAAAAACAATTAAACAATTAATTAATTGACAGGTCGAGATGCCATTTTCGAGGGCTATTCCGTGCAAAGGTACATCTTCCGGTCGCAATGCCTCTATCTGCTAAAGAGTCTTCAACTGGTGCTCCAGCAGTTCCGCCACGGATTAACCCATTGCGACTACGAGTTGTGCACCCATGCGGCCATTTACAGGAGCGATCTGGATGCCCAGGAGCAGCAGCTCGATGAGTTCGTGCGGCTGCTCAAGACCGGTCAACTAGACGAACATACGAACTGCGAGCCAATTCAACGGGTGCTTCACTATGTGAGTGGGTTGCACCAGAATCTGATGCCACCACAAACGCTTGTGGAGCTGCTGGACGAACAACAGCTCTATGAAGCGCTCATCGAGGTCTACGAAGCGGGCTTGGACGCTGTAAACGCAAATGCGGGTCTGATGCACACCATCATACAACTGGGCCATGAGCAGACCGCCTCCTTCCACTGCATGCAGATGCTGATGGAGCAGAGCTGTGCCCACAAGCAGAAGCTGAAGAAGCTGCAGAGGAAATTGAGTGGCAGCAAGACTGCGGCTTGGACGGGAATGCAGTGTGCCAGGTATCAGAGGATCTTGGAAGCGAACGAGGCACTGGGAGCGCTTATCCGACTGCTGGGCTCTACTGCCCGAGAAGCTAGCAAGGACTCTAATGGGGGAATTGCCCACGAGAAGCTGTGGAGGATGCTGGTTCTTAACTACAACAAGTTCGCACCGAGTCAGGAGACGGAGGAACCCAGAGAGGTGGATGCCTACAGCCAGCGGTGCATGCAGCTCCTCGAAGAGCAGTTTGGCGAGCTATTCGCGTTGCTGGACTCCACCGATGTGAACACAGAGTATGTGCGTCATCCCACCTGCAATACTTTGCAGGAGCGGGCAGCCCAGGTGAAGCGGCACTACGAGGACGTGAAAAACCTCGAGCTGACTGTGGCTGAGCGGGAGAAGGAAATCAAAAGCCTCAAGTACACAGCCAAGATGAAACAGCAGGACTACTCGGAGCTACAGGTGCGCAAGGAGATGGCCGAGAAACAGCTGAGCAAGCAGTGCCACGTGCTAGCCGGATTTGCCGAAGCCGTGGAGCAGCTGGAGCAGTCGATCCTGGCCAAGGAGGCGGCCCTCGGACAGGCATTGAATATACTAGCGGACAAGCTCTCCAGCCTGGAGCAGTCCCAGCAGCACTGGAAAGAGCAGCAGCAGGCGGACAGTGCCTGTCTGACCAGCACTACGATAAGCTCTAACCGGGAGATGAACATGCTCCATCAGGCACTTCGTCAGGAGCGATCCCTGCGTGTCCAGCTCCAAGGCAGCGAAATGAGAAAGACCTTCGCTGCTTTGGAACCACTTCATGTTCCCCAAGCCGGAAGCCAGGAGCTGACCGACCTGGAGAAGGACCTTCGCTCGCTGAAGAACCAGTGGCTCCTGGCCCATCTGGAAATGGGTAATGCTGGCGGCCAACGACGCTCGGAGATCGAGCTGCAGGGCAGCCGGGTCCTGCGACATATCTTCCAGACATATTGCACACAGCATCCGCATCGGGCCAAGAACACCGATTTTGGCCTCTTCATCACCGAGGATCTGCGGAGTGCATTCGGGCAAAATTTCTAGGTATTTCGGTATTCCGGTCGTAACAAAGGTAAATATATGTGATTCGCGGCTTATATAAAACATTAATACTCGTATACTAATAATTATTTGTACGAAGGTAGTTATATACATGCATATATGAAAACTGTACACATATATAGTTAATATCGAGTTTATCTGGCAATAAACAAATTTACATTAATTAGACGAATCAAACGAAAAGTTTTATGCCAAATGTCTGAGAGGAACTCTTGAGAATGAAAATAAGCAATCCCTGAATTCCGAAAATTAAACAAGATTTGGGGTTTTACAAAGTTAATCGCATTCAGCGTGTATTTATATATACTTATACTTTTAAATATTTAGGCCCAACATACTATGCTTGTAAAAGGTGTTTCATATGGTTCTCGTTATCTAAGGAAATGAATTGTTAGATTCTCAATCTCAATGTCGAGCACCCCGTTCTTAAATGTCGTTTATTTGAAATTAACGTTGTACAAAACATCAATATACAATCCTTTATGTACAAATAGTTGGGCATACTGAGAGCATCGCAAGCAGTTCAATTACACGAAACGCTTATCACATGAGCACATAATCGGGGATCCAGAGTGGCAGATGTGGGTCGGATATATGGTCGGATATGTGGTTGGATAGCGGGTATATCGGGACAAGATGGAGGCTGTAGGACATCGCTGTCGTTGTGGGGTTTACATAAATACGTTTAATGTTTAATGAGAAGAAGATTGCAGTTGAGGCTATTTACAGTTGCTGAATGAACAAAACAATTTGAGGCCTGTGAAGAGCTGCAGGGAAAATAATTATTAAGAAACAAAATCAGTGCAGTGCCAAAATTACAACATTTAAGTGATCTGTATTAAAAATGATTGATGGCATCCATAACAAATAGTGCCAATGAAGTTTCTTTAAGTTCTCTAATCAAAATGAAATGAGTTTTAAGACTCACATATTAAGAGTGGATTATTTAACTTTCTGTTTGGGGCTGTAATGTGCGTACCACAAACCTGAAAATGTTTTATTTGGGATCAGGAGATCAGTACCAACCTCACGACTTGGTTTCCGCCTGACGCTTGGCCACAATTTTGCCCTGATCGCGACTGTTGATGACCTCGGCGTGGAAGCCCGTCTCCCAGTCGGCGTAGTACTTCACCGTGCGCACATTGCCATCGGGCTCAACCAAGGAGTACTCTCCCTTGACCACGTCTCCATCGCGCTCCTCCTTCTGGTGCTTGTTGTCTCCCGTATGGGGATCATTTACGGCATACTCGAAGGCATAGCGAGGATGGGCATCCTGGGGAAAGGCGATATAATGTGAGGAAATGCTGAGAAAGAGGTAGTGCGTCACTTACGAAGTGCTCCAAGTGCTTCTCCGGCACCACCTTCAGGACGGCGTGTTGTGCCACCGGTGCTGACTTCAAGTACGCGGTGGCTGCCACGGGGGCGTGGCTGCTCAGCACTGGCACGCTTGGAGCATAGCGATAGAATCCAGCTCCCAGCGGTCCGATGCCACCCACCCCGTGCGAGTATCCACTTAGGGAGGAGTCCAGATGGGCCACAGAGGAGGGGCCTTGTGCCAGACCCGATCCATGGGACAGTAGACCGTGGTAGCTAAGGGCTGGGGATACCTTTGCATGACCCAAGGAGATGGCTCCGTAGTAGCCGCCGCTGGGACCGGATCCATGTCCTAAATTGCCTTGATGTTATTTAACATTTTATACCCACTAAATAGTTAAATATAGTAGCACTCACCAGCATTGATTCCGTACGCGGTGCTGCTGGCAAGCTTTCCACCCAGGGAATACGCTGGAGCCGATGTCAACTTCGTCAGCGGTGCACCAAGCAAGACTCCTCCATGTCCACTAGACCCGTATCCGACTCCCACTCCCAGTGGGATCGATGGACCAGTGGAAATGTGGCTGACAGTTGGAACGGCCACCTTGGCAATAGCTGGAGCAGCTGAAATAGCCACAGCTGGCTTGGAGACATACTGATGGGAGACGGCTCCCGAGCTGTAGCCCAATCCACTGCCCCCGTAGCCGGTAGCCAGCTTGGTGGATACAATGGGAACGGCGCCGACCGCGTGTCCCCCGTATGTGGCTACTTTAGCAATTGCAGGAGCAGCTGAAAGGGCAACCGCTGGCTTGGACACATACTGATGGGAGACTGCTCCAGAACTATATCCGGAGGCACTTCCCCCGTACCCATGACCCGTCGATACCACAGGAGCTGCATAGGACAATCCTTTCGATATGGCAGCTCCAGTAGTGTAGCTGGCTATGGCCGGAGCAGCATAGGTGGCCACCTTGGCAATCGCTGGCGCCGCGAGTGTCACTGCTGGCTTGGATACGTACTGATGGGACACGGCTCCCGAGCCACTGATTCCGTATCCTGTGGCTACTTTAGCGATGGCTGGAGCGGTGGGCAAGTAAGTCTTGGAGAGAACAGGAGCCACCGGAGCCAATGCGATCGCCGGCTTAGAGATGTACTGATGGGAGAGGGCTCCTCCATGGGCCAAACCTCCATAGCCCGTAGAAATCTTGGTGAGACTGGGAGCCGAGGAATAGGTGGAGATGGCAGGAGCAGCATATGTAGCTACTTTAGCAATTGCAGGAGCTGATGCAATGGCCACCGCTGGCTTCGAGATATATTGGTGGGAAACTGCTCCTGAGCTGTATCCCGATCCGCTTCCATCATAACCCGTGGACACTTTGGTTACCACTGGAGCTGCCGAGTACGTGGATACGGCGCGGGCAGTAGCATACGTTGAGATTGCTGGAGTTGCATATGCTGCGACTTTAGCCACCGCTGGCTTGGACACATACTGGTGGGAGACGGCTCCCGATCCCGACGATTCATAGCTCGTGGAGAGCTTGGTGATGGCAGGAGCGGATGAGTATGTGGCCACTGCAGGAGCAGCCGCCGGATAGGCGACCACAATAGGTTTGGAAATGTACTGGTGGGATACATCCGCTGCCTGACTGTAGGAAACCTTGGAGAGAGCAGGAGCGGAGGAGTAGGTGGCTATGGAGGGGCTCGCGTAGGTTGCCACTTTTGAGACCGCAGGAGCTGTGGCATACGTTGATATCGCCGGAGCAGCGTATGTCGCCACCTTAGCGATTGCGGGGGCCACTGAGATGGCTACTGCTGGCTTGGACACATATTGATGGGAGACGGCTCCATGTCCCGATCCTCCATAGCTCGTAGCGATCTTGGCCACTGCGGGAGCTGCTGAGTATGTTGAAATGGCAGGAGCAGCATAGGTGGCCACTTTGGCCACCGCTGGCTTAGAGACGTACTGATGGGAAACAGCGCCCGAACTGTATCCCGAGCCACTTGCTCCATATCCAGTGGCGACTTTGGTCACAACTGGAGCGGCCGCATAAGTGGAAATGGCGGGAGCTGCATAGGTAGCCACCTTGGCGATGGCAGGAGCGGCTGAAATGGCCACCGCTGGCTTGGACACGTACTGATGGGAGACGGCGCCTGAACCACTCGAACCATAACCATATCCCGAGGAGTAGGTGGAGACAGTGGGAGCTGCATAGGTGGCTACCTTCGAAATGGCAGGACCAGTGGAGTAGCTTGAAATGGCAGGAGCAGCATAGGTTGCCAACTTGGCGACTGCTGGAGCGGCAATACTCACAGCCGGCTTGGAGACATATTGGTGGGAGACGGCTCCCGATCCTGAAGCGCCATAACTGGTGGAGAGCTTTGAGATGACAGGGGCAGATGAGTATGTGGCCACCGTGGGAGCAGCGTAAGTGGACACCTTGGCAATGGCTGGTTGGGAGACGTACTGGTGGGACAGCGCTCCGGATGCAGTGCCTCCGGCTGGATAAGCGGCCACTATAGGCTTGGATATGTACTGGTGGGATAAATCTGCTACCTGGCTGTACTTGGTAATTGAGGGAGCATAGCTGGCGGAGTATCCTGTTCCGTGGGAGGAGAGCAGTGACGAAGTGGTGGCCAGTTTAAGGGCTGGCGCGGAGTAGGTGGACACCTTGGCAATCGCTGGCGCTGAATACGAAACCGATGGCGAGTAGGTGGCAATCTTGGAGATGCCCGGCGAGATCTGTCCATAGCTGTAACCAGGAGAGCTGTAGGTCTCCACCTTGGAGTAGCCGGGAGTGGCCTTGCTGTACGTGTACGCAGGTGAGCTGTATGTCTCCACCTTGGAAGTCACCGGTGGCGCATAGTAGGGAACGCTCGAGAGCGGCGGGGAGGAGTAAGTGGCCACCTTGGATATTCCAGGAGTGGCCGAACTGTAACTATATCCCGGCGAGGTGTAGGTCGCCACTTTAGAGATTCCGGGTGATGGCGGCAAGTAGGAGTTGTCCAACTTGGTAACCACCGGCGACACCAAGTTCTTGATTTCGATGCCCGAGGGCACTACGGTTGCGTACTTGGCGGCTGGGGACTTGTCCGCATACGTAATTCCCGCTCCTCCGTACTCCACTGAGGGAGTGAACAGACTCTTCTGCACGGGAGCTATGTATTTGCTGATCTGAGTGATGCCACCATGCGACAAGCCCTCGACTCCGGCAGTGGACTGATAGGCGGCTCCGGAACTTCCCACCGAGGTGTGCAGGAGTTGTCCGTTCTCCGAGTACGTGGATATAGCCGGGCTCTGGCTGTACTTGGTCACTCCGGGCGAGATGGAAAACTTTACCTCCGCCGGCGGAGGATAAGCATAACCAGCAGTGGCCGCGTGCACGCAGGGCAAGATGGGAGGTGCCAAGGTGGGCGACGGATCCGCCAGTACCACGCTGAGCATGCCCAGGAGGGCCACCAGATGAAACTGAAACGGAAACGTGAAAATAGGCTGCAATTATTCTGCACATTTCTGGGAATGCTGGCTTAAAACTTAACGTAACTTCCATGAACTATATCTAATTTACTACGTATAAGGGAATTTAAATTATATTTAAATTTATGTGTACACTTTCAATTCTTTTAATTTAATGCATCCAGCTAAGCATTTCGATATAATCCTTGCACTATTTTAATAAAAATCTATTGTCACTTGATTAATTATTAATCACTTGAAGCAGGAATTTAGTTTCTAAGACCCGATTTCGTTTATTATTCAATAATAATAGCAACACATTCATATTTTTCGGTATGTCCTTAATTTACAAATGTCACGCTTCTCATTGAAACTCAAACAATATGTATTATAGATGATTTTTGCCGTTTTCCCCGAACTTGTTGTGAATCTTGTAGTCCTTTTTAGATGTCAGCAGTGTCAATACCTAGATAAAGGACCCACCTTCATGTTTTCACTTTTCAAACTAAGCACAGTCGATGGTAGGTTTTCGTTTGAAAGGACTCGCGAACGTAATAGTAACGAAGTTTGCTCAGTAACGCCACATTTGCACTTTTCAAAAAGGAAACACGAGTCTGCGGTCGTTGGTGATTCGAATCCAAAGGGTTATCCTTGTGTGGCTCTGAAAATCACAGCAAAATGATCTGTTTCGATTGGTCTTTTCGATTTCCCTAAATTCTACCAGGAAGCACAACGGATCGAATGGAATCAATGGAATCGAATCGGGTTGGATCGGTTCGGATCGGAACGATTCGGGATGTAGAGCAGAGCCACGCGGCCGACTGGACTGGACTGTTGGCCAGCCCGGCCCTATAATCGCTTATATACGTTCGGTCAGTTGGCCAACACCGCGAAAAGCTCGCACGCATGCGCAGCAGCCACGCACCAGTTTGGCGACAAAGCGACAAAAAAGTGTAACTGGTGTATGGCAGAGATCGAATCGAAAATTGAAAAGCGAAAAGCGAGAAAATGGATCTAGCTGCAAGGAAAGAGCCAGTGAGTTGCGAATGAGCTGCGACTTTGGCGCGTGCAGAGGAAGAATTGATGACTGTTCGGCTGCAGATCTCGTTCCACAGCAGCTTTGTTCTCCATAATCCGAAAAGCGAAAACTGCAAGCTCCAACTGAAACTGAAACTGAAAACTGCAAGCTGGCGAACTGGCGAACTGCAACTTGCCTGGCCAATTGTTGGGCCCCACCTTTGAACGGAGCCTCAGTTGGTAACGTTTTATTAGATCATAGTCGCGAACGCCTCGGCTCAAAAATAAACCGATCACAAATGCGCGTGGTGCATTGTTGGCCGACTTTTTTGGTGACTTTTAGCCGCAGTTTTATTTGGACTTTTTGAAAGATTTTTATTTGGTTTTTATTTTTTGCATACCCGCATGCTTTTAAAGCGACTTAATTTGATTTAGATTTTAATCGCGGCCATTGCGTGTAGCTCTGGAAAAAATAAATGCATACGCAATTTGCTCGCAGCCAAGAAAAAAACAGAGAGCAGTATGTGTACAAAATAAAACAAGAACTGTGGTATTAATGTCGCTATCAATAAATTTTGTCTGCCTGTATGTGTGTGCAATCATGCGTGCCATGCGCCTTGGGCCTTGATTGTGCATTAGTTGGCTAAAAGGCGCATTGCCACATCATAATGCGATACAATGTGTAACTAATAGAATAGCCGGGAGATATGGCAAAGTGTTGACTGCTCGGCAATTAAGGTCACCATGCATCGAGTGTCACCCTCCTTGCGAGGGTGGGAATAGTCAGATGTCGAAAGTGGCCAACCCAATGCGTTAATATGTCTGATAAATCGGCGGGTTGACAGGCGATTTGAAAAAGCCAGGCGGAGAATTTCGGGTCAGACCCGGACTGCTTTATGGTGTTGAATTATGTCCTCATGACTTCATTGAAAATCCAATTAAAATTATAGACGTAATAATAATAAATGGAGGCCATTTAGCAAAGCAGAGATCCAATTGGTTACGGTTTTTAGTTATATAATTGATAATTCCAAATAGCCAGCATATCTGCATTTGTTTAGTACTATTTAAAAGCCTGGCATATAAAATGTGTAATCTTAAATATTTTCTCACACAATATTTTGCCAACTTATATAATAAAAGAAATCATAACTGTGCCATTAAGCGCGGCGCTTGCCAGACCATGTTGCCTTCTGGCCAAGTCCAGCTTGGCAGCCATTTCACACACGGCGCGGAAAATGCATTTCCACTCATAAGTACAGACCATTGGACTACCTAAACTCATAATTTCGAGCAGCTCGATCGGCAGCAACTGCTAATCCTGCCGCCTTTGCGACTGCCCCGCTGGCATCACGCATACGTCACGTTGTGCAGTGCCCAGTTGCCCAGTTGCCCAGTTTCCGCGCCCGTCGGCCTTTCCCAAAAACACACGCAATACTTGCACTCCAGCACTAACTTAACTGGTTCGCGATGAATGCAAATAACATGTGAGTTTTGAAAATTCTCGGGCGAGATCGCTCGATTATGGGGAAACATAACATCGGCGATTTTATAAATATGTTTGGCAAATTTGAAAATGTTTACGCGGCGACCAGGTCAACAAGCTGGCATGATTCGCAGCCAAACAAAGTCGAATGTAAATGATCGGGCTGGGGCTAAAATCCAGATTTTTCAATTAAAATCCGCAGCGAACGGGGGAGGGTTGTGATTTGATTTCGTCATGATGCTTAGTAGGCATGGTCGTGAGGCAGCCATGGCCAGCTGTAGCTGTATCTGTATCTGTATCTGTACCTGTACCTGAAGCTACAGCCACATCTGAGGCTAAAGCTATAGAGGTGGCTATATGCTATATATCGTTTCGCCAAACTTACGCAACCCGCCAATCTGTGCGTGTGTGTGACAAATGCGTGGCTAGGCGAACTAAACTCGTCCAGCGATCAGCCTGAAGTAGGTTAAAATTCGCGCAGCTGACTTCTCGGCTCGCGTTTGCAAATGTTGAAAAATTAAAATTCAATCAAATTGCGAAAACCATTCGCGAAAAGCCCAAAATGTAGAAAAAGCAGTCGAGACAGCGCGAAACATGTTTCATGTTCAGTTAACATCAGTCCCAGTCGCAGTTGCAGTCGGAAAAATTGCAGGAAAAGTCGGGAACACTTGCGGACTTGGCTCTTCTCTTTGCCCGGCTTTTCCGATAAAATCGCATCATGCAACGCCCAATCAACCGCAGCATAATTGGTCCACCTGGCTTATCACCTCCCGATCTGGATCGGCATTCTATAGCGCGGTTGCGTGTCTGGGTTTTACGTTTTTTCCTCGATTTTCCTTTAGGCCCGGCTTGGCTTGGGCTTCTAATTGAAATGTCAACGCGTGTGCTGCTCAATCAATTTTCCAGTCAGCCGAGTATGGTTGACTTTATTTCGGCAAAACTTCGCCTAGATTTTACATCGGTCTGGCCTTTTTTCTCCATCTCCATCTCCATCTGGGTGTCTTTAATTGATTTGGCCGGCATGCGGTGTCATTCGCGAGTCAGGGACAATGTGGCACCGATGGCAGTTTGATGGCTGCCACTGCCACCAAGTGGCACACTTCAGCCGCGGCGGACAGCTAATTAAATGCGGTCGAAAGGTGCGTTTAATCGATGCCCGTCACCGTGGTTATTAATTGGATCCACTGGGAGTTAATCCTGTTTGGAAAATCTTTTCTAATATGAAACAAAGCATTCTTTTTGAAATGTTTATTTAACTGAGTTATGATATTGAAACTTGGAATTGGTACAGAAAAAAGCACAGAAAAAATGAATATATTGAACAGTGCGAGAGTTTGACTTCTAGCTTAGTATATTTACAATTGTCAATACTATATTCAGTCAGTTATTGCACTCTAAATTAAATATATTTAAACCTTTATATAAGCCAAATTAATAATGTAATCGTTTTATACTAACTGTGAAACACTGACAATGAAACGGATATGAGAACGCTTTATACTGACGCTATCCGTTCTGACTCATTGGCTATTTTATTTTACTTATGGTATCAATATTTATACCCCTTACTCGTTGAGCAAAAGGGTATACTAGATTCATTGATAAGTATGTAAGAGGTAGAAGGAACTGACTATATAAAGCATATAAATCCTTGATCAGGATCACTAGCCGGGTCGATCTGGCCATGTCCATCTGCCCGTCTAAATCTCAGGAACAATAGAAGATAGAAGTTGAGATCAACTATAGAAGTTGAGATTAAGCATGCAGATTCCAGACGCGTAGACGCAGCGCAAGTTTTACGCCTACATAATTGTTACGCCCAGATTTTTGAACAATTTTTTAAAATTTATTTACATGTACATTTACATTTCTTTTTCCCCCAATTTCTATTTTTCTTTCTTTCGTTTTCCCATAACACGTTGATTACTTATTATTAGTATGGTATAGACGAGGAACTCGACTATAGCGTTTTCTCTTGATTAAAACGATCCCGTAAAATAAAACTAGTGTGTTTTGGAACTATATTCAATTGACTATTGTTTATTTGAGAAACATTCAAGGTGGTAAGCCGGATATAACAAGTGGATGTATTCAACTTAATTTATGAAGCATACCGACGGGGGCGGCTTGATTCAAAAGTGCCTGGCATATATGGTTAAAAAATGTTTTCAAAAGTGTGGTTTATGGTTCGGCTGCCATACAGCTCCATGAACCCCTTAAGCATCCCAGATCGACCGGGTGTCATAAACATTTGTCATAATTAACACAGATTAGGCATTCCGAAGCAGGGGCCCTCCCACCGGCGAATGGCTGACCCCTCGGCTAATCCAATTTGGCTAATCTCATGCATAACTAGTTAGCAGATCGAGTATTCTAATTACGGGCGCGATTTTGGTTCTGATTTCAAATTCGATTTCGAATGCCAGCCTGAAAACTGGTACTTTTTGTCAACGCAGAGCGTTGCGTATGGCATTGACTTGGATTTTCTTGCGATTTCGGTGCATAACTTCGAGTGTCGACCTGCGATCAGGGAGCAAAGTGTCAACTGTATCGATCGAAGAGCAGAGGGCGATTTGAGAAATAGTGAGTGATATATACAAATATACAAATCGCTCCCACATGGGGATTCTAGGCGAACCAGTTCGGATCCAAAGTGCCATGGCTGTGGCTGTGGTGGCAATAAAAATCGTTGCTCATAAACGGAGATCGGCGCAGAATCACTTAGCGCGTTTTTAGACGCGTGAGAATGCCTGCAAATCGCCCGAGTGCAACAGATTCTCAGATTTCACTTCGAGCACTGAGCTAAATGCGATTGCAGAGGCGTTTCGCAGCGCTCCCAATTAAATAATTTACAATTTTCTAGATTAGGCGCCGCCTCCGACCAACGACATTGAACGTAGTCAGGGGCTATGAGTCAGATCTGCGTTCATATATCTCGTACCCGAGTACGAGACTCTCGAGACTTAGATCCGGTTTGGCTTGGGGCTTGCCGGAGTC